CCACTGCTGCGACATCCAATGTTACCAATTCCGTGCATATCTGCTATATAAACCTAGAGAAAGTCTATGACCAGATCCCGTGCAACAATCTGTGAGCATGCCTGCAAACATATGGGATCGATGGCCAGTTCTTATGGGCTATCCAATCACTGCATGCTGATAGAAGAAGGTGCTGCGTCAGAGTAAATAGCGTTATTTCGAAATATTTCAGAGCTGGCGCTGGTCTTCATCAAAGGCTGTGTTCTGGGCCCTCTCCTGTTTGTGTTGTGCATAGATAGAATAGTCAGGCGCAGCCATATCGATGAGTGTATCGATGTAAGAGATGTCGAGACGAGAAAGTCGCTGCTTGCAGACGACCGTGTTTTGTTGGCATCTTCTGAAATCTACAGTGCTCCCTAGAGAGGTCCGCAGGTGAATGCAACGTGACCGGCATGCATGTGAACGCATCTAAAACAAAAAGCCTAGTGCTTTCTCGTTCTCTTGCTCGTTGCTCTCTTCAGATAAACGGAACGGAGAAACAATGGAGCAGGTGGAGAAGCTCAAACACCTCGGGCCGTGTTTACTGGTGATGGAAAATTTTAGGAAGAGATCGATCGGCGGATCGGAATAACTAATGGCGTTCTACGTGAACTAGACCGTTGTGAGTAAAGCATATCTGAGTCTGAAGACTAAGTTTTCGGTTTCAACTCTATGTCCATCCATATCCTCATCTACTGCCATGAGTCATGGACCATGACTGAAAAACATCGATGTCAGGTACAAGCGGCTGAAACAAACTTCCTGAGACAAGTCGCTGGCCTTATGCGTCTCGACGTGATCCGGAGTACAGAAATCCGTGAGAAAAATTGGTGTAGAACGGCTGCTTCTTCAGACTGAAAAATCATAGCTGTGATGGCTTGGGAACGTGCTGTGAATGCTTGCAGAATGAAAGGCGAAGCAACTACTTCTTGCCCAGCCGATCGGCAGAAGGCCAAGGGGACGGCCAAGACTGAACTGGTGCAAATATATGGAATGAGCCTGCTCGAGACTATAGTTGTCTTCTGCCGATATTCAGACTGGCACAGGATCTCCGCGACCCGAAAGAAGAAGCGATTATGGAAGATGGATGGTAACAGAGTAGAGTCCGTTACCTGAACCTACCTGTACATCGTCACCCAGGTCAGACCTAAAGTAACAAGGAAACAATGCTAAACAACTGAGTAAAATAGCTGGAATTTTAGGACCAAGACCACAGGCCGGTATGAAGCACTCTGAGGCGAAAAATGTTGTCAGTTTCCAGACAAAGTGTGAGGACGAGTGGTGCATCCTGTCCAAAATCGTTCTAAGAAGTTTTACATATCTCAAAACGCGATTAACCGGATCATGACAAGCAGGAAACAGCAGTGGAGCGTAGTGAAGGAATGCAGTGACATTGTTATCTACTGGGGGCCATCAAACCCTCATAATGGTGCTCGTCGATATCTGCGTTGACTCAACCCATGCTGCATCATCGTTCGTTTCCAAAAACTCATAGTTGGTTCTGTAACTTTTCGAGATGAATAGTAAACATCTGTCGGCCATTGAATCGCTTTGAGTGCGACAACTATCGCGGAATCACGCCTCTCGCTATAATGGAAAAGGTATTCGTGTAAATTTTCCTCAGAAGACTGAAGAACGTAGCTGACGATTCGATTCGATCAAATCAAACAGGGTTTTGCACTGGACTATACGGACAACATCACTGTACAGAAAAAGATCGTCCAGTTGGGCAGGGGCTTCCAACTACCCTGGCATGAAGTATTCTTCGACTTCTGAGTAACTTTCGACTCAGTACACCGCCAACCCTAGTGACATATACTGCGACATTGTGGAGTACCGCAGAAAATCATCGGTCGAAGGTACTATAGGCGCCATCAGAACAGAAAAGTAGTTGTCGGACAGGATTATCATCAACAGTGGAATATGCCAAGCAGATCTGCCTTAGCCTATACTATTCAACGCAGTGGTGGTTTATGTGACGCGCAAGAGCGTCATTTAAAAATCAAGAGCGAGGGATTAATTACCAGACAACGACTCAGCCAAAGGTATCCAGCAGTACTCATAACATATCTCGAGTGCACTGAGACTCCGCCAATATACTATATAGTATGTAATATGTATGTATGTGTATTTCTATAGTAAAGTACATCTTTCGTTTCGGACCAAGCTCGGTCCCTTTTCAGAGAACAATGACCAAGGCACGTAATATTTTCTAACTGGTATGGCTGACTCGGTTGAGTAATGGTGCCGCGTTTGCTTTGTGGCCTTAATCAACCGTTTGATGTTTGCGGTCCATGCTCGAATCAATAACGCTTCCTTGAATTTGCGGGAAAGATATTGTTGTCTCACGCGACACCTGTCATTCTGTCTCCCCCTGATGTGTTGGTGGGTAACAGCATGCTCCAAAATGGCAGATTTTTCTCGCATTCTGCCCTTATAAGTTCAGGGTTTTACGTCTGTCTCTGACCTTTGCCGACGTGTTGTCCACCTCTTTCTCCAGCATTAGCGTTCTTCCACCTGATGAATTCCTCATGTAGTCTGCCTTACTTTCCACAACCTCTCACCCGTTTCGCCTATGTAAACCGAACCACAGGAGCATGGAAGCTGCTACATTCAACCGGCTTTCTGTTCCTTAGGTTTCTGGATCCTGAGTAGGCTTAGCCGGCTATGTAGAATTGCTCCAGATTTGAACCCGGACGAAGATCCAATACGACGCAGATTTTTAATAAGTTGGCGAACGTATGACAAGGTAATGAAGGTTTTATTATCAAGTGAACAGGCACAGGCCCTTTGTTTTGATAAACTTGCAAGCCTTGGTTAAAAGTCTTCATATGATAGCCGTT